TCATGTCTGCAGTTCACCAATAACAGGGACCACACAATATTAACAGAAAAGAGAGAAAACTTCATGCCGTTACCCACGGCAATTCATCACCACCATCCGAGCCCGATATCTTGGCTCCGCTTCGTGGTCTCCTGTCTCTTTTCCCTGAATAAGAAAAATTAATAATAGCGCCTATGGTCAAAATTGTATAACTTACTAATAGTGTACCAGCTGCAAAAAATCACCATATATAAAGTGTACCAATAAATAAATAATTTGCGCTAGTAAATGTATATAAATATATATAAAGAAATCATCAAATCATAAGTCCAGAAAAAAATATATATATGCCAATACCACAAAAAAAAATATAAAAAAAAAAACTTTTAGGTGCAAAAAACTTTTGTGCAAAAAAAAAAGTGTCTAATATGAAAATTTTTACCAAAAAACCTTGTTAATATAATGGCAGATCATCCATAAATATATCTTCAGAAACGGAAACTCTGCAACACACCGATCCTCATCGATCGAAATAACAGGATGAAAAACTTTGTAGTTAATCGAAAATCCACTTCTCCAATAGATAAAAGACCACCTTCAATCGTATCCATGGGGGGAAATGCCAAGCACTCGAGAGAAACAGAAAGACTTCATGGTGCAATATTATAAAAACCAATTCCTTTATTAGGTACTCATTGCACTTACTCAAGAGGTGTCCCAGCCGACACCAGCATCAACAGCATAACAGCAATCACATAAACGCAATTTTAGTAGAATAGTTATTTGTGAGCCACCAGGAGTTAACTTACTCTATTATTAGTGTTAATTGTGTGCTTAAGTGAATATTAATTAAATATTGGATCGCCAGGCACTAATTACACCCTCTCTAGGTGTATGAAATTAAACTATGAATTCTTATACTGTACCGTGCTCCAATATTTATCAACCTTTTGTGATTAACCTTTTTTGGTTGTGTGAATTTCTTAATATACCACCTATAATCCAATCATTACTTACTTCTAATGGTGCTTAAATATACAATTAACATAAATTAATTTATAAATATGAATTAGAAAATTATATGTGATTATAACAAATATTAATAAAAAATTAATGAAAAATTGGAATGTCAATTCTATGTGAATAAAATAATAAAAAATTAATAAAACATAAAAAAAAAAAAAAAAAAAAAAAGGGAAATGTCAATTATTTTCTTTGAATTTGAGATGGTGTTGTTATTCAATTTAGTTAATGTGATAAGTCTGTGTTGGCAGCTTGAACCTCTCCCTCGTCTCCTCTCCTCTCTTTGTGCTTTCTTCACTGGCTGCTTTGTTTATTCCTCCATATACGGAACATGCAGAGAAGGGAAAAGAAACATAGTGTCTTATCCGGGATATAAGTGAATTGCTCTTTGATCTCCCACTCACATTGTGTAAATGTAAATAACGCTTTGAATACAATGTAACAAGATCCTGCTTCAGACAGCCTGGCTGATGTGTTTGCTTGCAGTAAATATACTCGCCGTTCCTCTGTGGATGCGTGATAACGTCACCGCCCCTCCCCTACGCGTTACGCTACAGGGACTCGTAGCTTCCTCTGGGGGATGTGGATGTGGATGTGGAAATCCACATCCCCCAGAGGAAGCTACGAGTCCCTGTAGCGTAACGCGTAGGGGAGGGGCGGTGACGTTATCACGCATCCACAGAGGAACGGCGCGAGTATATTTACTGCAAGCAAACACATCAGCCAGGCTGTCTGAAGCAGGATCTTGTTACATTGTATTCAAAGCGTTATTTACATTTACACAATGTGAGTGGGAGATTAAAGAGCAATAAATCACTTATATCCCGGATAAGACACTATGTTTCTTTTCCCTTCTCTGCATGTTCCGTATATGGAGGAATAAACAAAGCAGCCAGTGAAGAAAGCACAAAGAGAGGAGAGGAGACGAGGGAGAGGTTCAAGCTGCCAACACAGACTTATCACATTAACTAAATTGAATAACAACACCATCTCAAATTCAAAGAAAATAATTGACATTTCCTTTTTTTTTTTTTTTTTTTTTTTTTTTATGTTTTATTAATTTTTTATTATTTTATTCACATAGAATTGACATTCCAATTTTTCATTAATTTTTTATTAATATTTGTTATAATCACATTTTCTAATTCATATTTATAAATTAATTTATGTTAATTGTATATTTAAGCACCATAGAAGTAAGTAATGATTGGATTATAGGTGGTATATTAAGAAATTCACACAACCAAAAAAGGTTAATCACAAAAGGTTGATAATATTGGAGCGCGGTACAGTATAAGAATTCATAGTTTAATCACATAAACGAGCCTGGCTACTCAGCACATGCGCAGTAGCTGGCAGCCAAAAACGTAATGACGTCACATCAATCAAGCTCCGCCCCTGGAGCCTGATTGACTTCATTACGTTTTTTGGCTGCCAGCTACTGCGCATGTGCTGAGTAGCCAGGCTCGTTTATGTGATTGCTGTTATGCTGTTGATGCTGGTGTCGGCTGGGACACCTCTTGAGTAAGTGCAATGAGTACCTAATAAAGGAATTGGTTTTTATAATATTGCACCATGAAGTCTTTCTGTTTCTCTCGAGTGCTTGGCATTCCCCCCATGGATACGATTGAAGGTGGTCTTTTATCTATTGGAGAAGTGGATTTTCGATTAACTACAAAGTTTTTCATCCTGTTATTTCGATCGATGAGGATCGGTGTGTTGCAGAGTTTCCATTTCTGAAGATATATTTATGGATGATCTGCCATTATATTAACAAGGTTTTTTGGTGAAAATTTTCATATTAGACACTTTTTTTTTTGCACAAAAGTTTTTTGCACCTAAAAGTTTTTTTTATATTTTTTTGTGGTATTGGCATATATTTTTTTTTTTCTGGACTTATGATTTGATGATTTCTTTATATATATATTTATATATTTATATACATTTACTAGCGCAAATTATTTATTTATTGGTACTCTTTTCCCTGAATATAGAATCATTTCATGGGGTGGCCTGGGTGGGACTTTGTCCACAATCCCTCACTTAGGAGTATCTCAGGGTCTCTGTTCCTCCTTGAATTGTTCAGCGATTCCTCCTGAGATCTTGTCCACAGTGTTCCTCCTCCTTTCTCTTTCCAGACGGATCTCCAGTGACCAATGCCTTATCCCTCCTGGAGCTTCAGGGATTCACAGCAGTCCCTCTCCTGTGCCATCTCCTGCTCTGTACACTCCACAGGCTGCTCCTCAGCTGCAGCTCCCTGCAGGCATCTCTCACACCTCCACTGACACATCCCACCTGGGCTTCACAAGCCAGGCTGCATCTCCCCGCCCTCTCCGGCAGGACCGCACGAACCTCTCCAGTCCTCCCAATGCCGGGAGCAGCACCAGCTACACCGACGTCTCACAGCCCCAAGCTGCCGCACACAGGTAATGTCCATATGCAGAGTAGGGGGGTTGGATAGTGTCAGGATGACAATGTGCACTTGGCCAGTGTCCGGAGCTCCCTCTCCTTACCGGCTCACTGCTCCATGCTCAAGCCCCTCTCCCCCTAAGATATATTGTATCTTTTGTTTTTAACGCTATTTCTTTCTCTACTTTTGTGAGTACCCACTTGGCACTTATTGGATTTTTTACAATGAAATCACTGGTAAGGCACTAGGTGTTTGCTGCTCTTTTTTGTAATTGCTACGGGATACACCCAATTTTGAGGCTAGACATATTTGCCATTTATTTACTCCATGGAGTCTCGTGTTTTACATTTAGCAGTAAATTGAACTGTAAACTTGTGTTTGAGTGCACTAAAGTTCATTTGAGAGGTTTTTTTTTAACTGAAAATACAGATTTTAGAAATAGTTGTGCAAATATGACGTGACGTAACGCGTAGGGTATGCCAATGCCGTCAAGCCGCAAACCGGAAGTGGACGTGCCGCCATTTTGGAAAAGGGATTCCTGTACATACTGTATAGTGAGTTTTACCCATTAGTGTCCCAGGTGAACACTTTTAAATGTGAGTTCATTTTCAGCATTTTAATAAAGCTAGTTTTTACCTGGCAATATTACACTATATGGAGTATTTTTTCCTATGTTTGTGGAGCATTCTGGAGAGTTTAAAGTGCTGATAGTGGTGCAGATCTATGTACCAGTATACCCTCCCGGGTTAAAGGGAAAAGCATAGTTTGACCAGGCATTAGGGGGTCAAACCTGGAGGTGAGCGCACTAGTGTGTTAGAGGTTGATGTATACTAAGGAGCACCGTATGCAGTTGTGTGATTACACTGATCCACAGCAGATTTAAAGGGACGGTTCACCATTGTTTGGATATTTTTTTGTTGCTGGTGTATTTGGAGCACGATATATTGGAGACATACCGCACAAACACAAGTGAAGATTTCTGAGACTTAAAGGGACAGTTCACTAATAAATATAATTTATTTGGTTTCTATATCTATATTAAATTCAGCACTCATATGTGCAAGTCTATGGTGATTTATGTGTATGCGTTAAGAATACATTGGATGTAGCACATATTTATTGTCACATACACAATTTCTGTTTCTCTATTCATTTATGCATGTTTATATTATGAGCACCATTTGAGTTTATATTGCTGTGCTACATTTTTTAATTTGATTTATGGTTTACATGTGGGAACACATAATTTGCTAGCTGCACAATTTGTTTTAGAGGAAGTTTATTGCACTGAGGGTTATACATAACTTTCACAATTTGTTTTCTATAGGTTCCTTGCTTTCACAAAATATATGCAAATAGTTTAACAGGCTGTAGAGGTTTATTGCTCTAGGTGCTGTGGTTATGTTTTTTAGAAATCCCAAAAGCTATAGAAACATAGAACTTAAATATAGTTACATGCATTATATATATATGCATACCCCATAGTTATTAGACACACCTGTAAATAGTACCTCTATTTATGTAAAAGACACTAATACATCTGGGAAAAACAAAAAAGATAATTTAGTTTTATTTACCATACTGATACTGATAAGGAGGGTTGTAAGCACCAGGGTACTGTGATGGATATGCATTGTTCTGCAATGCTGGAAGAAAAAAGAAACAAAACATCTAATGATGATGTAAAACACTTAAAAAAAACTGGGGTACAGAGATTTCTCAATACTAAAGAGGAACATCACATCCTCCCCCCCCCCCATCCACCCTCTGTGGTCATTTGTTTTAAGTTTATTCTTGCCTTTTATCCTGAATTCACATACTCCCTCACCCAGGGAATTTGGTATTGTCCTGCTGTGATCATCCACTCAGCTGTCACATACTGGGTCCCATGCTGCCAGCTTCTTCGCTGATGACATGAGGGAGCCAGCTGACTCTTATGGGTTCAGAAAGTAAGCCTCCAATAACACATTTCAGGTCTGCCCTGCTGAAGCTGCAGAATGTGAAAGCCAATGCCAATGATATTTTACTTTGTGGAGGGGAGGGATTGCTAGGGGGAATGTTTATGTTGTGAATGTTTAAGTGAAAGTTCCGCTTTAGGTCAGCTCAAAGAGAATTGGATTCAGTTTAGTATTTAGACAGCAAATCTGCTGTGTACATGATTGCAGCTGAATGCAAGGTGAATGCAAGAAAGCTGCTAAAATCGCTATATGAGAATCACCTTTGCAGTTGAGGGGCTTAGGGCATTCCCTGTGTTGTAAGCTACACTATTCAGTGTATACTGTTGGCCATCACCAAATTTGCCAGAAAACTTTGATTACTTGATGCTGGTCACGATGAAGAACATAATTTTTTTTCCTGAACGTTAAGCGCTCATGTATACTGCAGCTGCTAAACTCACGTTTAGGAGCTGTTCAGCATTTTTTTCAGCAGCCCCTAAACTCACCCTAATGTTTTCCTATGTGTCTATGTACACATCTTCGTTTATAGTCATTTACAGGCAGTTGAGTTTACAGTCGTTTTTTTTAAAGTAACAATATTGCATTCAGATGTCGATTTTATCAGTGTTTCAAAGGCAAAACATTGTAAACGCGTCTAAACGCGGCAAATCACGTTTATAAGCGTTTGCATTTGAAAATTGTTTTTAACTCTTCCAGTTCCCAATGCTGTGCAGAGCCTTTTTTTATCATGAAAAAATGCATGCAAAGAGTTTTCAAGGTGCTCAGATGGACAAAACACTTAACACAGGATTTTCCTACCAAGCTGGTCACACATTGTAATGACCAATTCACACCTCAGACCTCTCCCACCCTTGGAAACAAAAGATATGTTAATGTCCATTCACACCTCAAATTCCTCATGAAGACCTCCTGCCAGGTGACCTTAATGACTCACTCCAGCAGACACCTTCCCACCCTTGGAAACAAAAGAAATGTTAATGGGCAACTCACACATAATAATCTCAACACATCCTGCTGTCTCTGCTTCTACTGTGTGTATTTCACTGAAACAGTCTGAAATAGTTAATAATTTGCCACTTTTCAGTGCATTCTAGGCATTTGGGAGGTTCTCCTGTGCTTATCTTTAAAAAACCGCTTCTAAATGCAAACGCTCATAAACGCGTTATGCAAATGTGGCTAAACAGACGTTTTTTAACCTATGTTTTCCAGCAGTCAGTTTCCATCGTTCAGAAACGTCCCGTGTACATGGGGCCTAAACCTTTGGGAAATCTGTTTTTTCATCTGATATGTGCTTCTTTAGTTAATGATGGGGTGATCCTACTGTGATTCCCACCAGGATTCAGCTGATGTCTGTTGAATATACAGCAATAGGTGATCAAACATCACTTCCAATCCCACAGCATTCTTTCCCTGTGTTGCAGTGTTGTTAAACACCACTATCGTCACTATCGTCTCCTCTTGTCTTTAAATGTTATTAATATATCACAATTGACTTTTTAACACCACTCCACTATGTGGAGTCTGGTTATTACAGCAACAACAAAATGTTAAGATTTTGGTGTGAAGATCTTAATTTCATATAGGTTTTGCACAAGAAAAGATTAGTAGCATTCACAAAAAAAAAATGTTCACCTATAGTAGGCATGTAAGCAGATGCAGTCTACCTTCTCCACTGCAGGTGGCTCTCAACCGCAATGACACTGCAGAAGGAGAGGAAATCAGGAGGAACATGGTTTCCTGGGTCACTGGGGAAGCTATCCGGGTGGATGCTGCCACCCTATGTTACTCTGGTGGCCATATTGAGTCAGGCAGAGTCTATTTAAGATCCTGGCTCCTGGGATTGGTGTGCATTCCATGTGTGGATAGTGTAGGGACAGGTTATCCATATCTCAGGGACAGTGGATAGCAGTAGTGAGAGGCTCCAGATGAGAATGGAAAGTGTAGGGACATGCCATCCTTCCTGGAAGCCTCCCAATTGGGTATGGCCAGGCCAGGCTAGGCCAGGCTGCATTATGCCCATCAAGAGGAAGGCTGAAACCTGACCACCACTGAATAAGACAAATAAGTTGAAACTTCAAGACAGGGCTAAGAAATATCTAAAGACAGATTTTTCAAAGGTTTTATGAACTGATGAGATGAGAGTGACTCTTGGCGGACCAGATGGATTGGCCCGTGGCTGGCTCAGTAACGGGCACAGAGCTCCACTTTGATGCAGTCGCCAGCAAGGTGGAGGTGGGGTACTGGTATGGACTGGTATTCTTAAAGATGAGCTAGTTGGACCTTTTTGGGTTGAAGATGGACTCAAAATCAACTCCTACACCTACTGCCAGTTTTTAGAAGACACTTTTTTTCAAGCAGTTGTACAGGAAAGAGTTTCCATCTTTCAAGAAGACCATGATATTTATGAAGGACAATGCTCCATAGCATGCATCAAACTACTCCACTGCGTGGCTAGCCAGTAATGGCCTTAAAGAAGAAAAATAATGACATGGCCCCCTTCATCGCCTGACCTAAACCCTATGGAAAACTTGTGGTCCCTTCCTAAATGGGAGATTTACGAAGAAGGAAAACAGTACACCTCTATGAACAGTGTCTGGGAGGCTGTGGTTGCTGCTGCACAAAAAGTTGATTGTCAACAGACCAAGAAACTGACATACTCCATGAATGGAAGGCTTATGACTGTTACTGAAAATAAGGGTAGCTATATCGGTCACAAATTATTTTTGTAAATGTCTGAAATGTATATTTGTAAATTTTTAGCTGTTTATTTATTATTCTCACTTTAACAGATGAAAATAAACAAGTGAGATGGGAAAATTTTTGTTTTTCATTTAGTTGCATAATAATTCTGCAAACTAATAGTTGCCCAATATTTGTGCACATAGATATTCTCCTAAGAAAGCCAAAACCTCACTTTTACTTTCTTAAACATTCAGGTTTTAAATTATTCTTGTTGACTTGTGTTCAAAAGCCAATGCAATTAAAAGAGAAGCAGGGCCAAGGCTTTTTTGGCAATTCTTCTCTTATGGGACACAGGAGTGCAATTATTTCTGCACTCCTGTGACCCACATTTAGCTGACAGCAGGCTAAACAGACCCCCAATGTCTTAATTTTGTGACAAATAAAGGGACTGAGGACATAGAATCCTCCATCCCTTTCTCTGCAGCCTTAGCTGCACTGGACAGAGAATAAAGAAAAAGCTCTGTACAGAGGCATCTGTTCATTCATAAACTGAAGCATAGTGAACACAGCCTAAAATGCTTAGGTTATGATTGAACACAGTGAATGACTGATAACAATTACTCATTGTGTTCATTCACAAAAAAAAGTGGCAGGTAAATGACATACTTACTGACCCCTTTCCCAGCTCTCCATCCTGAAAGCTGCTAGCGGGAAAGCAGAAGAGGGAAGCCAAAAGAGGAAGAGGGCACACGGGGAATCAAATCCTGGACAGGGGGGGTTATCAGTGAGGAAGGGGAACAATTACAGGAAGTGGTCTCCTGTTTGACTCTCCCTGCAGCAGCTGAAAGCTGGCAGGAGGGAGAGGAAGATAACTTGGCATTCAGCTGCTGCTGGTAGAGGCAAACAAGGGATTCGTTCCTGTAATTGCCCCCTTGCCTCCACAACCACCCCCTCTCCTGCCCACATCTGATTCCCCTGATGCCTGGACTTGGTATAGGAGGACTGGTGCTACCCCCTTATCCATGGCCCTGCTGAGACCATTCAAAACTCATTGCAAGGTACATTTAACCTGCAGTTATATTTCTTCTGACCTGCTTCACACTGCCTTTGTAAGGGGAGACAAGCAGTTCTAAAGTGAATGATAATCTATTGATGTTGGCCATCCATGCCTATGATTCTACCCCACACTTCTCTTCTGTGTTCATAACTTAGCCCCAATGCCTTGAATTAGCATAAACAAGAGATCTCTGTGGGTTCTCCTCAATGCTGCTGTCAAGGAAAAAGACTCATCCAGATTTTCAATCCCTAAAAGTGTTTGTAACCCTCAGTCATGACATCTGAACCAAGCACATATATCAGTAGTGTTTACTCGTCTTGAAAGAGTGATTTCTCTCTGCTGCTTTGGTTTCCTGTTATTAGCATGTGTCACTTTTGATAAGCTGTCAGGACATCAGAGCTAAAAGGGTGAGGGGGAAGGAGTGCTCAGCACACAGCCTGTCTATTCACAACACAGCTCTGCATTGTTCCTTCTTTCCTATGCCCTGTGTGAAAGGGGGGGGGGTATCCTTTTCCTCCAATCAGCTTTCACACACTGTACAGGGGGTCTGACTGCAGCTCCCTGCCCCCTCCTCTGTGCTACTGACAGATGCATAAGGGATTTTATCTATGGGATATAGAAAAGAGAAGACTGTAGATTAATAAGTAAAACTTGTGTTGGAAGATTTGTTTCATCTCTGTGTATCATCTGAGGATATTCACTTCACTGGGTATATGAGAGGGTTTACAACCACTTTAATAAATCAGCTTTCTGTCTTTTTGCTTCCTGCCCCTCTGCTCACTATTAATATAAACCTTGTTTATGGTGCACCCTTGCTGTGAATAAAACCTCTATTGTTGCATAAAGTTTTGTCAGAAATGCTGTAATTGCCCACATAATTTAGATTTCTACCCATGTTAGGTAATGTTTTGGTCAACTTTCAGTTTGCTGAATTTATCAATGATGACTGAATCTGTATTTCCTCACATATAAAGCTAGAGTATTATCGTACCCTAAAAATCATTGTGAAGGAATTACAATTTAAAATAATTTAAATACTTACATTCTCCTTGTGAATGAGAACAGGTGGAAAGATGAAAAATTAAAAAAAAAAAACAGAAAAACAAATCAGTAAATGATGATTCTACAAATTCATTTTTTTCCTTAACCACTTCAAGTCTGGACACTTTCACTCCCTTCCTGTCCAGGCCAATTTTCAGCTTTCAGTGCGATCACATTTTGAATAACAATTGCACGGTCATCCAACACTATACTCATATGAATTTTTTTGCATTTTTTTTGAGACAGATAAAACTTTTGGTTTGGTGGTATTTATTCACCACTGGGATTTTTATTTTTTTTTTTTGCTATATAAATGAAAAAGGCCAAAAATTGTGAAATGTTTTTCTTATAAAATTTTGCAAATAAATAATCTTTCTTCATAAATCTTGGCCAAAGTAAAAAAAAAAAACCCCAATTTAGTTTATAACAAAAAATTATAATTTTTCAAAAATATTTTTTACATTTTTATTTTTTTTTATATTATTTTTTTTTTTTTTTTAGAAACAGTGTCACATGTGGTACTTGTGGGGGGGGGGTGTGATGATTTATTTATTTACTTTTTTTTTTACACAGACTGCTTTTACACCCATAAAGGCTGTAAAAGCAATCATTTCTCCCTCTCTCTGGCTGCATTTTTGCAGCCATTGAGGAATACTGTGAGAGTTGTGATTGGTCACATTTTGTCACATGGTACAAGGCTGTATGGTACAATAGCCTTATACCATGTGACCTCTGTGATCATTCACAGATTTCACTAGTAGTAAGCAATTATGTCAGACATCTTGCTTACTACTATTCATGTGATCACTGATCGGCCAATCAGTGATCACATGATCGGACCCTCACACAGAGGTCCTGTACAGTGGGCACCGGATCATGGTGCTGCACGCTACCAGGGAGCGCATACAGGCAAGGAAGCAGGTGGACGTTTATAAACTGCCACCGGCTCCTGCACTGCTCCCCTCCGGCCATTTATGTACATGGGCCAGACGGGAAGTGGTTAATCTGTAACACTGTGAAGGTTGACCTCTTAAACTTTTGGATTATTGTCAAAAATAATCTGGGTCCTAGAAAAGGAGACCTAGATAAATGTCTTTTGAAACTTGAAGCAAAATGGATTTTCCGTTTAGGCTCAAGGGCACCTTATTGTTTAAATGAAGGATTTACCTTCCTTCCTTTTGTGTGTGATTAAGGATTCTTGCTTTTTATTTGATTTTGCTCCATAAATGCTATATTTTGGTATGAACTGTAATTTTGGTCTTTAACTAGTGGAGCATTAACAGTGTCTGAGAGCACCCGCAGTGTCTATTGTGTTGTGGACTGATGTGGTGCTGTGGTGTTGTTTTTTGTCCACAAGATGGCATGTGTTGAGGTACTGAGCATGTGCGGGGGCCATTTTGATGGCCACTATCTCTATATATTGAGGTGAAACAAATGATAGGTGCCATTTTGCCACCGTGTGAAGCTGAGCACAACTTTCAGCCACTCTGTGATCTATTTTAATTTTGTATACTCCTGAAGAAGCTCTATTTTTTGGAGCAAAATATGTAGAGTTTCTTTTTTTTTCTTTGGGTCTTTCTTTGGGAGCACTTTTTGAATGCAAATGGTATTTATTCCTCTCCCCCCTTTTTTTTGGAGAGGTCTGTACTGTGCGTTTTACACTGCAAAATTTGCATTCCTCAAGACAGTAAGGTATATTTGTCTGAATATGGTGATGTATGGGGCTTGTCCATGAGAGGCTGACATTTAGGCCCCTGGATGAGTGTACCCGTATTACATATCTGTAGCAAGACAGATTATACTATCTAATTCGTTTTGTCCATGGGGTAACTCCATTTCCTTAATATAGATTATATATTCAAGATGATAGGTTTATGATCAAATTACAGTTTCTCTTTTTATGCCGTTACTTCATCTAAAACGGTATGGTATTTGATTTGGTCTGGTGTTATTACCCATTTGGATATAAGTTAAATAATTGCAATTGTATCCAGTCATATTGTTGTGCGCAGTACATTCCACTCCAATATGCATTAATTACAGTTGAGCATACATTTTATACATTTGAATAAAGGTTATATTTTAGATTCATCACTTGGCCAGATGGTGCGTAGGGACACACACCCTCGTCCGGCATAGATTTGTTATTTGCCAAAGATGATGATTTACAATTAGGGCTTAGTTCAATAGTTATATAATTTTTCTCGTCTTAATAAACCTTATTGTTTTTAATGTATAGTGATCGCTGTACCCTTTGTTCTATACAGCAAATGCAGGGTGAACCCATCTCAAAAGTCCATGTTTACTAGACTAATTATTTCTGGTTTACCATTTATGATTTAGACTTTCTAACATTTTATATTTTTGATATGGAACACTAGCATGTATAACATTCCTACCTTCAACAAATTTATCAGCAACTAATGTTTCTTCTTCCTTTTCTTTCTCTTCAGGTTTTGTTACCACCATAGATGTTAAAGGAGTTACAAACTTGAACTTCAGAGAGAGATCCAAAGCCTGTTGTTTAAGCTTTTCTTTCTCTGTTGGGTCTGCAGAAACTCTTCATAATAATAAAAAATAATAATGTGATTTTAGAATCTAACTAAACAAGCATTTCATATATTTTACATATACATTTTTTGTTTATATAATACTTTTGACATACATATTTCACTGCCTTATATCATATACAGTATACAGTGAAGGAAATAAGTATTTGATCCCCTGCTGATTTTCAGTGTTTGCCCACTCACAAAGAAATTATCAGTCTAAAAATGAAATGGTAGGTGTATTGTAACACTGAGAGACAGAATAGCAACAAAAAATTCAAAAGAAATGCATGTCTAACAAATTATGCACTGATTTGCATGTTCATGAGGGAAATAAGTATTTGATTCCTTCACAAAACATGACTTAGTACTTGGTGGCAAATCCCTTGTTGGCAATCACAGAGGGCAGACGTTTCCTGTAGTTGGCCACCAGGTTTGCACACATCTCAGGAGGGATTTTGGCCCACTCCTCTTGGCAGAACCTCTCCAAGTCATTAAGGTTTGGTGACTGACGTTTGGCAACTCGAACTTTCAGCTCCCCCCACAGGTTTTCAATCGGATTAAGGTCTGGAGACTGTCTAGGCCACTCCAGGACCTTAATGTGCTCTTCTTGAGCCACTCCTTTGTTGCCTTGGCCATGTGTTTTGGATCATTGACATGCTGGAGCACCCATTCACGACCCATGGTCAATACCCTGGCTGAGGGAAAAAGGTTCTCAACCAAGATTTGATGGTACATTGCTCCGTCCATCGTCCCTTTGATGCGGTGCAGTTGTCCTGTCACCCTCAAAGCATAATGTTTCCACCACCATGTCTGACAGTTGGGATGGTGTTCTTGGGGTCATAGACAGCATTCCGGCTCCTCCAAACACAGCGAGTTGAGTTGATGCCAAAGAGCTCAATTTTGGTCTCATCTGACCACAACACTTTCAACCAGTCCTCCTCTGCATCATTCAGATGTTCAGTGGCAAACTTCAGATGGGCCTGCACGTGTGCTTTCTTGAGCAGAGGGACCTTGCAGGCACTGCAGGATTTCAATCCTTGTCAGTGTAGTGTGTTACCAATTGTTTTCTTGGTGACAGTGGTCCCAGCTGCCTGGGAGCATTGACAGGATCCTCATGTGTAGTTCTGGGATGATTCCTCACTGTTCTCATGATCATTGACACTCCACGAGGTGAGATCTTGCATGGTGCACCAGACCTAGGGAGACTGACAGTTGTTTTGTGTTTCTTCCATTTGCAAATGATTGCACCAACTGTTGTCACCTTCTCACCAAGCTGCTTGGCGATAGTTTGGTAGCCCAGTCAAGCCTTGTGTAGGTCTACAATCTTGTCCCTGACATCCTTGGAAAGCTCTTTGGTCTTTGCCATGGTGGAGAGTTTGGAATCTGATTGTTTGATTGTTACTGTAGACAAGTGTCTTTTATACAGGTATCAAAATGAGATTAGCAGCACTCCCTTTAAGAGACTGCTTCTAATCTCAGTTTGTTACCTGTATGAAAGACACCTGGTATCCAGAAATCCTGCTGAATGTCAGGGGATCAAATACTTATTTCCTTCACTGTATTTTACTGCCTTATACAGGTAATGTCTGCTTTAGCCTGTTCGGTCATCCCACTTGATCCATTTAGAAAAAGTAAACATGATCCTTAGGTGGGAGGGTTCACTAGAGTTGACTGGCTCCTATAAGATAAGCTTTAATATGTCCTATAAAAAGGAACAGAACCAGTTTATTAGTTATTGACATTATAACTAAAAGTAAGGGATCACTTATTCCAACAGCCCTCAGATTTTGCATGTTAACTAAAGAGCAAAGTGAAGTTGTGTGTGTATATATATATATATATATATATATATATATATATATATATACACTTAGTCTTTTGTGGAGAATATTGGTAAATCTTAAAACATTCAATAAAGATTTGTAACATGCCAAAAATATTTTTAAAAAACTTCTAACACTTTGATAGCTCAGTGGCTCTCAAAGTGTTACATGCTACATGTGTTTGTTGTGGTACATTCATTTCTGTCTGTAATAGCAAGACTCATTAACCAATACACCACTGCTACCAGCAATATATACTGTGACCTAAGGTAGCCAGTAGGCTGAATGAAAATAAAATAACAGATTCCTCCATCCACACAAATGAGGTGAATGGAGGAATCTACCCTGCCAGGACATTGTACTCTGATAGTGGTACCCACAACTTTCAGAATACACTGACTGAGAACATTTTTCCGCGTTCCTTTGACAGAAGATGAGCAAAAAAAAAAAGCGTGGATTGCCCCAAACTGATTGAAATCTGGCCAGTCCCTATTTAATCAGCCAAATTTTGATCAGTGTATGGCCATCTTTAGTGCTTAACCTCCTTTGCCAAGCAAGAAAGGCACTCAGTAACAAAACTGAGAATCTTAGAGCACACCATAAAAAGGTATTTAACTATTTTTTGCAATCTGAATGCTGAAAATGCAGGTTTGTAGTTTTTTGGGGGGAATTCCTTAACAATGAAAATATTTAAATAATTCTGGTCAGAACATTTTCTCATTAGAATACAAGCAATATTATATATTGTACAAATATACCGTTTCTCCAGCAGTTGCTGTATGGTGAGGTAGGCCCAAAGTCTTTCAGTAAAGTCACCGAATATGTACTCCTGCTGTTTGGTCGGCTCATCCTTCTCTTGGAGTTGAACGTTTTCACTGTATTTCAGTGAATTATCTGCCTGTCCGAAAAAGACAGACAGAACTCAATATCTATAAAAATCTAGTATACTTAAGAAGGACATCATAAAATTTTCATAAGAATCTTTAAGAAAACTATCTTGGTATTTACTGTAGGAACATCAAGGCATGGCACTTCATTGAAAAGTTCTAATAGACTTTTTTTTATTTAAAAGTAGCTGTTTTTAAGCTACAGAACACGAGCAAGATATACTGTAGCACACTGATTTCTCTTTCTGGCCCTTAGCCTGGAGGCCTGGAGCATTATCAAGTGGTCCCTGTGGGGGTAGGAGTTTTTTAACTGTTTTTTATCCATACATGTCTATGTTACTTTTTCATGCCCTGATATTCTATTCTTTATTTTAAAACTGCAGTTTTTATCCTACAAGAGTTGTTTTACGTGGTAGTGAATGGAATACATGAGCACTTTTATTCCAATTTTATCCTGCCTTCATTCTGTTTGTGAAATGCCTTCCAATGTAAAAACACAAACATTATTTGGCATGCACTGGAAACAATATCAGGGCAGATACAGAAAGGGTTTAGGACTGATAAAAGACTATTTAAAATAACTAATATTGTGATCTAAAGGGGATTCTTAATTTTAGCCCTAATAGGACCACATCCCTAACAAGATGAGCAAAAAAGAAAAAAAGGAGCTGGGACTTTTCATGTGCTAATCATCATATGAAAATAAATATTAAATACATGAACAACAAAAAATACGTTTTATCTTCAACAAACATATATTTTGCCCAAAAGGACTCACAGCTCTATAAAGCCTCTGAAGAAGCAAGCTATCCTACCAAATTTGAACACTGTATTGTGGGATGTTGCACAATCTTTTTCTTATGTATCTACAGTTGTGTTCAAAATAATAGCACTGTGTTGAAAAAAGTGAATAAAGCTCAAAATCCTTCTAATAGCTTTTATTTCCATACACACAAATGCATTGGGAACACTACACATTCTATTCCAAATCAAAACATGAAGAAAAATGTATCAAATTTGTGTTGTTCCTCTAAAAAATTGAAGAAAAGTGAATATTAGACTGTTCAAAAAAATAGCAGTGTTTGTATTCTTCTTTACAAACTCAAACATTCACTATATAAACTGAAAAATGTTTGAAGATTTGCTTTCCTTTGAATCACTTAATGAATATTTAGTTGTATAAGCACTGTTTCTGAGAACTGCTGTACATCTGTGTTGCATGGAGTCAACCAACTTCTGGCACCTGTGAACAGGTATTCCAGCCCAGGATGATTGGACTACATTCCACAGTTCTTCTCTATTTCTTGGTTTTGCCTCAGAAACTGCATTTTTGATGTCACCCCACAAGTTTTCTATTGGATTAAGATCCGGGGATTGGACTGGCCGCTCCATAATGTCAATCTTGTTGGTCTGGAACCAAGATGTTGCACATTTACTGGTGTGTTTGGGGTCATTGTTTTGTTGGAACACCCATTTCAAGGGCATTTCCTCTTCAGCATAAGGCAGCATGACCTCTTCAAGTATTCTGATGTATTCAAACTGATCCATGATCCCTGGTATGCGATAAATAGGCCCAACACCGTAGTATGAGAAACATCCTATTATCATGATGCTTGCGCAACCATGCTTCACTGTCTTCACAGCGTACTGTGGCTTGAATTCAGTGTTTGGGGGTCGTCTGACAAACTGTCTCCAGCCACTAGACCCAAAAAGAACAATCTTACTTCATCAGTCCTAAAAATGTTGCGCCATTTCTCTTTAGGCCAGTCAATGTGCTCTTTGGCAAATTGTAACTTCTTCAGCACGTCTTTTTTTCAACAGTGGGACTTTGCGGGGGCTTCTTGCAGATAGCTTGGCTTCACATAGGCGTCTTCTAATTGTAACAGTACTCACAGGTAACTTTAGACCTTCTTTGATCTTCCTGGAGCTGATTGTTGGCTGAGTCCTTGTCATTTTGGCTATTCTTCTATCCATTCGAATGGTAGTTTTTTACTTTCTTCCACGTCTTTCAGGTTTTGGTTGCCATTTTAAAGCATTTGCGATCATTTTGGCTGAGAAGCCTATCATTTTCTGTACTTCTTTATATGTTTTCCCCTCTCCAATCAACTTTTTAATCAAGGTACGCTGTTCTTCTGAACAATGTCTGGAACGACCCATTTTCCTCAGAATTTCAGAGAGAAATGCACTGTAACCAGCATGTACAACATTTGCTGCCTTCCTTCCTTAAATAAGGGCAATAATTGCCACCTGTTTTTCAAAGAATGAATGACCTCACTAATAGAACTCCACACTGCTATTATTTTGAACATGCCGCTTTCAATTAGTGATTCAATTACACAGAATCAGCAGCATGCATGTCATGACTGTTGGGTCTGTTGGATTTCTATTACTTTACTACACCTGCTAGTAAATTATTTGCCATGTAGAAATATAATTTCTACCAAAAACAGTGATTGATCAGGTTAGTGATGTCTGACTGCTATTATTTTGAACACAACTGTGTATGTTATTCTGGGGTGTACTTATTAGCAATGTCCCTATTAATGCACTTCTATTGAGCTCTTTTGTAATTTTATACTTGACCTTTTAGGGAAAATAAATATTTGTTAAAGATTATTTATTGGCGTTGTTCCTTTATTCACTAATTTTGTCTGTGAGCTGCATTGCAAATCTGGTGGCATGGGTAGCCAAGAACAAAGTATTTATGTTGCAGTATATATCTCATTGGTGCCATGTATGATGTGGAAAGGGATGCATGTGTTGCTGTGCGGATATTGTTTGTGACATGGAAAGTGGGGCTTGAAGAGTGCATGCTGGTAAGTTAACTATGTGTACTGCTGTGCAGATTTCATTGCTGAAATTGATGATCGGGGGGAATTACATGCTTTAGAGTACTGATACCATTGGTGACATGTGACATACTGTGTTTGTGGGTTGCTGATCTCAATGGTGATGTTGATACTTGGGAGTGAGGCGTGTGTGTTTGCTGGAGTGCAAGTAAAGTAGTGCAGACCTCATTGATTGTAAGGATACTGGGGAATCAGTTATGTAATAAAGTGCAGATATTTTGTTGATATCCATAGTGGTAAGTAAGGTGTGTGTTGGAATGCAGATCCCATTGGTAGCATGGATTGACTTAGTCTACAATAATATATTTTCTTAGATATGGTACTTTTTACAGTTATACATACCCCTTCTGCCTGTATATCCACAGAAAAGAAGTTCAGATCATTATCGATTATTCGTCCAGCAACCACAATTTCACTGCCATCAAAGTAATGTTTGAAGCTGTTCTGGGTGAGGTTTGCAATGGTATTCTCAGGATATTGCATTTTAATATCCACCAATGTTGGGTTTGCAATTTCAGTGTAAAATCCCTATTATACAAGTAAAGAAATATTGGTTTTATGTATGTATTCTTTTTGTGAAATATAACAAAACCATGCAGTTTGCATTTAGTTCGTTTCTGAAGTGCGTTTTGCGTTTTTGCACATACATTTGTGATGCATTTTGCGTTTTTTTCTTGTTTTTTAGGCAGATTTAAAATGCAAAACGTATCAAAAATGCATCAAAAACACTTCATGCATTTCTGCGGCTTTTCCATTGAAATTTATAAAACCAAAAACACAACTTTTTGCGTTTAAAAAAGTCACTGACGCTTTCCAAAAAGTGCACCAGGTGAAAACACGGAGACGTGAACATGTCCCATAGGAAATCATGTTAAATGGACTGTAGTGCATTTCTGAAAAATGCAAAACGCTGCAGAAAATGCTTAGGTGTGAACCTAGGGTAAAAGATATTCAATGTAAAAGGCATTTTGAGAACCAAACTGTGGAGTGAGCTCCATTTAAAACTAACCTGCATCTGCAAGGTTGCATCTGAGTCCTCATAAATTCGACGGGCAATGCCTGAATTTTCCAGTGCCATCTTCTCAAGAAATCCATAATCAACCCCATAACCAAAGCCAAGACAGTACAGGGTATATCCATTTTTGTTAGCTTTCCTTACATTTTCTTGAATTTTTTCTGGTTCTGACTCACCTTGTGGAGGAAAAGCAACAGTCATATTAGTGCTATTTTAAGGGTTTCATACTACACAGTAAAAGATGATAAAAATATCAAAATGTTTTATATGATATAAAAATCAAAATGTTTCAGTGATTCACTTATATGCAGATAACTATTATCACCATTATGAACTTTTAGAAGTATTTTGAATTTTAGAAGTATTTTAGTAATAAAAAGACCACAACAAAATATTTTAACTTCAGTCTGGGAAGTGGGTGTTGGAATAAAGCAACATACTGTATTTAACATCACCATAATCCTGCTACCTTGATCCAAATTGTTGGCAAGGGAATGTATTTATTATGGTCATAACTATATTTTTTAATATTTGTTTTTAAATCAGGTAAATTTGAAATACTACATACCTTGTTTTTTACAGAGCCCAGTTGTTCAAGGTCAGAGTATCTCATCCATCTTTTCTCCCAGGCATGGCCAATGTCAGAGGGTGGAATGAAAGGTTCTCTGTGAACATATATTTGAACCTCTCTCTCCTTTGAATGAACCAGGAATTGACATGTATTATATCACTCCCTGGTTTACAGTTGTCATCCCCGGTAGCACTGGGGGTTGAAACAGCTAATGGTGCATGATCTGTACTCCATTAACTTCAGTGGAGTGCAGGGGAGATGTGGGAGTGGAGGGGTCTAATAGATCCCTGATGTCTCATTATATAGATGTAAGAAATCAAATTTATGATTCGGCACTTATACTGATGGCAAGTTTGCAAAATATTTGGCTTTTATGATTAATCATAATTAATATTAATATGTTTGAATGGACGCCTTGAGCCAATAGTATTACAATTCTTCAGATATAGCTGAGACAAAAATATGGGCAAGTTAGCTGAGACCAGCTAAACCAGCTGAAGACTATATTTAGGCATAGCTGGTTAAAAGTCTCTGGTAGTAATATGTCAAGGGTATTAGGAGTACTCATTATAGACTTACTATTACATAATGTATTTTAATAGTATCTGTGTGTATTTAGTATACGTTTCTAATATTAATACATATATAGATTAGTGATTATACATTGATATGTTGTAAAGATATGTTCTTAAATTATATTATCCTTTAAATATGAATAGCTGAGGTTACATCATTAGCTTATAGTATTATGTACATCAGCATCTGTACCTGTCCATAAAACATCACATATATAGCGTCCACTCTCTTCTATGAAACTGCTTTGCTAAGCAGTAATAATTTCCATAGAAGGTATTAAGATCGCTAGGTATGATGCTGTTCCTTTATAAAAGGTCCATAAGGGACAGTTGGGATCTGACACACTAACACTGACACTTTGACACACACACACACACGTCTGAGAATCTTCTGAATAGCTGGAACAGCTGCATGCTGAATACAAGATTGTCACTTCCGTCTACTTCCGGCTTCTTCAAAAAGTCACAAGAAGGACAAGGAGAGCATGAAGGACAGAACAGCACATGGCCGGACTTCTATGACAAAAATGGTGACTTTTTCTTTAAACTTTTGCTTGGTATTCTACAGTAGTTTTATCTACATGGAACTGTTCATGATACGCTTTACATTGTTATTTTAAACCATTGTGTGATAAAATAAAATCACACTTTTTTTTTTTTCAATTTCATTCATAATCGCCTCAAGACACTAAAATAAGTATTATATGTGTCTAAAATCCAACAATAGATAACCTGTCACTTTAAATATGTTATTACATGAGGAAGCATTGGTTTCCTATGTGATAGCTATAAAGTTTAATGAAAAAAAAAAGTATAAACATTTAAATTGACAAAAAAAAACTTTTGTAAAGCTCCCTCACCACCAGGTGAAGGTAGAAGGAGGAATAGAGGGAGGAAGAAGAGGGGGAGTAGAAAGAAGTTTCAATAAGCAAGGCTTGCCACCTACTACCACCTTCCATCTCCATGAGGCAGCACCTCTACCTCTCCTTTTGGGATTGCCTATTTTTTTTTTAACAGTTCTAATTTGGGGAAGGGCAGGAAGCCTATCGCTGTAGGATTCTTCACTTAATTTTTGCTGCTTCTTGGCCAATCACAAATCCCTGATGAAGCCACGTGACCTATGGCGTAATTCGTAGGGGTGGGGCTACGACGTCACTTGGCACCAGAGAGCAAACGGCGAGTATACACGCTGTGCGACACACACAGGCAGAGGATTTTAATACAAAAGCGCTTTTTAGTTATACACAATGTGAGTGCATTTATTGAGCATTTAAATAAAGGAACGTTTTTATAAGGAGAAAGCACTATGTCCACATTTCTTTTTGCTCCATAACACTGAGGAACATCTAAGAGGAGTGAGCAGGAGATCCTGAGCAGCTGAAGGAGGGAGAGATCCCTGCAGGGATAACGAGTGTTTAAGGAGAGAAGCATTGTGGAGTACATAGGAGGTATCCAACATTCATTCCATGCTGCAGCAAATGGTAGCAGGTTCCATCTATGTGAACAAAAAGTGTAATAAGCCTATCAGTTAGGCTTGCAAGGAGGTGAGCGCATATCTTTAATGCTATAAGGATTCACGAAAAGTCACAATTGGTGTCTTTTGGATCACGTTATCACAATTTCTTTGGACTATTATTTGAATAATGGGACTGTTTTTTGTTTGATTTTATATCTCAGTTATTAATTTGGGATTTATTATTTTATGTATGATATATTTTTTTTTGTGTGAATTTTTTATTTGAAGTTATCAATATTTAGTTTGTTGGAGATTGGGAGTGCAACATTTTGGTGATATGTTTTTTTTTTTGTATACACAGTTAGAGTATGTGATATATGTTAGCGATCCAGAGGAGTTTTATTTTAGTGGCTCGCAAGTTATACACACATATCCATTGTAGGATTTTCCTCTGCCTTTCAGCTTGTGTTATATGGCCATAGATTTTCCTCCTTGCGTATCTGCCCTTGGCCCCTGACTATAATGAAATAAATGTCAAAAAAGAAACCTTGGCTGCTGAGTGCCTGGGGGGAACATTATGCTGTCAACCCAGAGGAATTGCAGATGTGTGCTACCCAATCACAGCATCAATACCAAATAATGAGGAAAAAATAAACTAAAATGTCTACATAAATATAAAAAAAAAAAAACTAACATGCAAAAAAATGGTGGCTTTTAACCTTTCTTTTTGGGGCTAACCAAGACAGGAACTTTCCGTCACTTGGCATTTGTTATAACATAGCTTTATTGGCAGCTGTTCTCTGACAGCACACTGGCAAGCCCAAAACTCCAGCAAATACTGTGCAAGCTCCAGCCAGTGGTGCAGCCTGGACACCCAGTAGTCTATGGGGTTCTCACTAGTGTTGTAGTTGGCAATTATGTGATTGAGGGAGCTAGCTGTATATACTGCCTGCAACTGAGAAGAAAGGGGGTGGGGAGGGGATCCTACCACCATCAGGAAATGTGACCAAGAGATTGTGATGCAGCACCTACCTAAAAGGGTGATATTTTGGGCAAAGTCTGAGATGGTGGCAGTAGATCAACCATTTTACCCTTGAATCTGGATTCTAAAGGGTAGGCCACTCACTAGTGGTTCTCCTCCTTTTTGAACAGATCCCAGAGTCCTTGTGCAGGTATTTGCATATAAAATACTCCATTGGTCACAAATAGCCTGCAGCGGAGGATCCTGAGTTCCCCAATCTCACCCTACCCAACCCCCAGGGTTTGGGAGGGATAAATGTCCTTCTTGAAGCCTGCCCCATTTCCTTTTCCTTTTCACTACCAGCATCCCAAGCCACTTCCTCCTTTTATTCTTCTTCTGCCCTCTGCTGCCTCATTGCATTCCACATGCTGGTGGAGGGAGGGCAGGGACAGCCTTCTGGGCAAAACAATGGTGGCTTCTTGACACTGTCAAGAAGCACAGGCAATAGACTTGTGGAAAGGAGATATTGAACAAGTTGGAATGGGAGCAGCTTCAAAGCCAGCAATTTTGCAAAGCTAGCATTAAGACACTGGGCATGGGGGGGGGGATAATTTGGGGAAATGTTTTTCTTCTTTCTGCTCCAGGAGTTGATAGCTCGATGCTATCTTGAGCTGCATTATCCAGCAGCTGTACAATTATAAGGCTAATGTCTTTTCTCAAGTAGGATTTGACTAATCTCCAACTAATAAAATCCAGGCAGGACACGACCTGTAAGAATAACTTAAAGCAGAACTTCTCACTCTCAGTCAACATGGACCATTACTAATCCTTATACTGCTAGCATTAGTAAATAGATAGGAAAGTATATCATATTTACTTGTTGTAACCTTTTTTTTGCATTCCTTCATTTACCACCTGTTTTCTAAGCCTAGGCATGAGTCTTCAGGAGGGGAGGGAGGGTTCTGAGCTAAGGACAGATGGATTCCAGGAAGTAACTGCTACATGAATCATCTTCCCTTACTCAAGATGGCCATCGCCAGAAATGCCAGGAGGTGTTTTTCAAATTTCTCAGCAAAATAAAGCATGGATGGGTGGAGAGTTTGTTTTGAATAGTAAATATGAATTAGATAGCATTTTTGGTTTGCGGTACTCAGCTGCAGGGCAGTTCCACTTTAACTGCAGTAGTGAACAAAGTAGTGCTGGCCATATACTGATCTTTTTTTTTTCTCAATCAACCTGCAGACTGATAAAAAAAACAGATTCCCCTATCCACAAAAGCAAGGTGGATGGAGATATCCTCTCAGTTTTGCCATTGTATTCTGACAGCCTCAGCACTGTCCCTGTGTGCTGTATGAAAGGGGGTGTGTCCTTTCCCTCCAATCAGCTCGCAGAGCTCTTGTACAGTGTGTTACTGCAGTTCCCCGCTCTCTGCTTTGTGACTCTGTGTAAAATCCTTGTAATCTCTGAGGTTTACAACGATGTACAGGACAAATGGCTCCAAATAAACAGGTACACCTTATGTGAGAGGATTTGTTTAAACTCCTGAGGCCAGTCACTTCACTCGGTATATGTAAGGGTTTACAACAACTTTAGGGTCTTCTGCCCTGCTAGACAGGGTTATACTATGTATCAGAACTGTATACATTTCAGGAGAGACTGAAATGCAGATCCTTTAGCAGGCAAGCCAGCTTGCTTGTATGTATTTTATCTGTGTATTTATCTGTTTGCTTGGAGTTCAGCTTTAAAGTGGACCTTCCAATAAAATACAAGGTCTGCATTGCGAGTCAGTGGCTTAGCGTAGCTTACAACAAGAAATGTTGTTATGGAAGGATAGCCAGGTAAGAAACTTTGCAACATATCCTCAAAAAATAATTTGCTTACGAAATATGTATACAGTGAGGCCTGATGCCAGATTTTCTGAAACATAGATTAACTACTTCCCGTCTGGCCCATGTACATAAACGGCCGGATGGGAGCAGTGCATGAGCGGGTGGCTGTTTATAAACGGCCTCCGCATTCACTGCCTGTGCGCGCTCCCTGGGAGCGTGCGGCAATGCGATCGGGTGCCCTCTGTGTCCTCCGGACACAGTGGAACACTGATCGCTGTACGGGACCTCTGTGTGAGGTCCCGATTCATGTGATCATTGAATGGCCAATCAGTGATCACAGGAACAGTAGTAAACAAGATGTCACTTCCTGACATCATTGCTTACTACTTGTGAAATCTGTGAATGATCACAGAGGTCACATGGTACAAAGCTATTCACAACAGCCTTACACCATGTGAAAAGCTGTGACCAATCACAGCTCTCACAGTATTTCACAATGGATGCAAGAATGCAGCCAGAGAGAAGGATAAATGATTGCTTTTACAGCCTTTATGGGTGTAACAGCAATAAGTGTAAAAAAAGGAAAAGAATTCTTCATCACCCACCCCCCACACACACACAAGTAGTACAGTGTCACTATGGTGACACAGTACTGCTAGGGTGACAGCATGTTAAAAAATATATATATATATTATTAAAAAAAAAAAAAATTAAAATGTAAAAAAAAGTTGGAAAAAAAATAATAATTTTTGGTTATAAACTTATTTGCGTTATTTTTTTTTTTTACTAAAAGGATAGATGAATACATTTTGACCAAGATTAACCACTTCCTGACCGGCCGTTGTATATAAACGGCCGGACGGTGGCAGTGCAGGGTCGGGTGGCCGTTTATAAACGGCCTCCCCGCACCCTGCTTGTGCGCGCTCCCTTCGGACACAGTGAAACACCGATCGTCGGACAGGACCTCTGTACGAGGTCCCGATCATGTCATCACTGATTGGCCAATCAGTGATCACATGCAAAGTAGTAAGCAAGATGTCACTTGTGACATCATTGCTTACTACGTGTGAAATCTGTGAATGAGGTCACATGGTACAAGGCTATTCACAACAGCCTTGTTCCATGTGACAAGCTGTGACCAATCACAGCTCACTCAGTACTTCTCAATGACTGCAAGAATGCAGACATAGAGAAAGAGAAATTATTACTTTTACATCCTATATGGGTGTAAAAGCAATCAGTGTAAAAAAAAAAAAAAATCTTCATCACCCCCCACAAGTAGTACAGTGTCACCATGGTGACACTGTACTGCTAGGGTTACAGTATGTAAAAAAAAAATAGAAATAAAAAATAATAATATAAAAAAATAAAATGAAAATGTGAAAAAAATGTTTACAAATTATAATTTTTGGTTATAAATAGAGATGAGCGAATCGAACTTGGCGAAGTGGAATTCGTTTCGAATATTAGGAAAAATTCGATTCGCACCGAATCCGAATTTTAGCAAACTTCCGATGCACGAATCGAATTTTTCCCGATCAGCCGGCAAAAAGTGTCACTGCAGAGAGCTCCGCTATTTCTGACAGTTCTCTGACAGTTCCTTCACATTTACAGCGGTTGAAACATTGTATCTATTTGTTTCCATTTAGGATACAGATGTTTTTATTCGGAAATAAATAGATACAATGTTTCAACCGCTGTAAATGTGAAGGAACTGTCAGAGAACTGTCAGAAATAGCGGAGTTCTCTGCAGATACACTTTTTGCTGTACTGGAATTCTTCTTCTTTTCATTCTTCTTCTTCTTTTCATTCTTCTTCTTCTTTTCATTCTTCTTCTTCTTCTTTTCATTCTTCTTCTTCTTCTTTTCATTCTTCTTCTTCTTTTCATTCTTCTTCTTCTTCGTTTCATTCTTCTTCTTCTTTTCATTCTTCTTTTCATTCTTCTTCTTCTTCTTTTCATTCTTCTTCTTCTGCTTTTCGTTCTTCTTCTTCTTCTTTTCATTCTTCTTTTCATTCTTCTTCTTCTTTTCATTCTTCTTCTTCTTCTTTTCATTCTTCTTTTCATTCTTCTCATTCTTCTTTTCATTCTTCTTTTCATTCTTCTTCTTTTCATTCTTCTTCTTCTTCTTTTCATTCTTCTTTTCATTCTTCTTATTCTTCTTTTCATTCTTCTCCTTATTTTCATTCTTCTTTTCATTCTTCTTCTCATTCTTCTTTTCATTCTTCTTCTTCTCCTTTTCCTTCTTCTTCTTCTTTTCATTCTTCTTTTTATTCTTCTCATTCTTCTTTTCATTCTTCTTTTCATTCTTCTTCTCATTCTTCTTTTCATTCTTCTTCTTCTTCTTTTCATTCTTCTTCTTCTTCTTTTCATTCTTCTTCTCATTCTTCTTTTCATTCTTCTTCTTCTTCTTCTTTTCATTCTTCTTCTTCTTCTTTTCATTCTTCTTTTCATTCTTCTTTTCATTCTTCTTTTCATTCTTCTTCGTCTTCTTTTCATTCTTCTTCTTCTTCTTCTTTTCATTCTTCTTTTCATTCTTCTTCTTCTTCTTCTTTTCATTCTTCTTTTCATTCTTCTTCTCATTCTTCTTCTCATTCTTCTTCTTCTTCTTCTTCTTCTTCTTCTTCTTCTTTTCATTCTTCTTCTTCTTCTTCTTTTCAATCTTCTTCTTCTTCTTCTTCTTTTCCTTCTTCTTCTTCTTTTCCTTCTTCTTCTTCTTTTCATTCTTCTTCTTCTTTTCATTCTTCTTCTTCTTCTTCTTTTCATTCTTCTTCTTCTTCTTTTCATTCTTCTTCTTCTTCTTTTCATTCTTCTTTTCATTCTTCTTCTTCTTCTTTTCATTCTTCTTTTCATTCTTCTTTTCATTCTTCTTTTCATTCTTCTTTTCATTCTTCTTTTCATTCTTCTTCTTTTCATTCTTCTTTTCATTCTTCTTTTCATTCTTCTTTTCATTCTTCTTCTTCTTCTTTTCATTCTTCTTTTCATTCTTCTTCTTTTCATTCTTCTTTTCATTCTTCTTTTCATTCTTCTTTTCATTCTTCTTTTCATTCTTCTTCTTCTTCTTCGTGCCCCGTGACTGCCCAAATGAGTGAAGTGTGCGGTGATTCTAAGATCGACGGCACTCATCTGCATGTCATACTGACTGACAGTATTATTTCTCTTCCCCAGCAGACTCCAAGGGCATTTAAATTAAAGGTACAGTGTTCTGCACTAATATAAAGGCTCTCTGAAGCCTAGAAACCCTTTTAATAAGTTAAATTCGCAGCGAATAAATTCGCATCGAATCGAATTTCTCCCGCAAATTCGGCGAATCAGCCTAATCGAATTTTTGAATAATTCGCTCATCTCTAGTTATAAACTAATTTGGATTTTTTTTTTTTTACTAAAAAGATAACGGAATAAATTTTGGCCAAGATTTATGATGAAATATTATTTATTTGCAAAATAAAAAACACTTTTTTGCAAAATTTTTGGACTTTTCATTTACATAGCAAAAAAAATTAAAATCCCAGTGGTGAATAAATACCACCAAAATAAAGCTTTATCTGTCTCAAAAAAATGGTAAAAAATTCATTTGGGTACAGTGTTGCATGACCATGCAATTGTCATTCAAAGTGTGATAGCACGGAAAACTGAAAATTGGTCTGGACTGGAAAGGGGTGAAAGTGTCCGGACATGAAGTGGTTAAGGATTAACATATACTTTATTTGCGACTGCATGTTCATTTACAGTCTTCTCTTAGTCCTGCAAAATCTCACAAATACTTGCTGATCCTGCCTGTGAAATCTACCTAATACAGCTTCCTGTGATAGGATGACAACACTGTACTACAGTGGGATGAGAGGGTGTTGCAGGGGGTCTGGCTATAATTATTGCCACTGCTGATTAACAAGCCTGTATCAGCAGCTGGCCACACCTAGCCCACTGATTTCTGGATTGACAGCACTATTTCTATACTTTCTCACTACAGATTTCCTGTAAAAGGGAAATATGATGACCCAGAACATTAATGAATTTTTTATATATTCATATTTTACAACAGTATTAACATTTTATAGCATAAAATACTATTAACCTTTGTCCTCAGTGGAGCACAACTGAGAACATTTTCTAGGCCTTTTGATACAGGCATATTTAATCTGATTTTAAGTGATAAGGTCTGGAGAACACTCAAGAAACATGATCCACAAAATATATTACTTACCTATATTTGCTCGACCATCAGTGAGCAAGACTATTAAAGAGACACTTCTTTCTGGGATTTCGTTTAGTTCACGTGCTTTATCCAATAATTCCACAGCCCTTATCACAGGATCATTGATATTTGTGGCTGCAAAAATATATGTGTAAATAGTGATCTATGATATATAGCTATAGTATAAGTCCAACAAGGCATTCAAAGTTAGCAAAGAAACCTACAAGGCAACTGAGGGTACACTTTCTTGCAGGGGTAAAGGGTGAATGCTGACCAAGTATTTTTCACACACCGATTACCAATCTTGACCAATGTATCGTAACTCTGACTCCTGAGTTAGACATCTGAGTCACCTGACTACTGACTCTAACACCAGACTGTTACTTTTGGCTTTGAACCCTAACTCTGATACTTGATTCCTTTTCCTGGGTCTGACACCTAATTCTGACACTTAACTGATGCCTGACTCTGACACCCAATTCTTTTCTTATGGCTGTAAATCCTGACCTGGGACCCTCTCTATTACTTCTGGGTCTGATACCTGACTCTGAAAACTGACTCTACCTCCTGACTTTAACATTTAACTTCTACTCGTGGCTCTGACACGAAAGTCTGACCCTGATGCCTGACACATGACTTTGACACCTGACTTACTTCTGGCTCTGAAACGTATTACTTTTGGGTCTGACATGTGACTCTAACTGACACCTGGCTCTGGCACCTGGCACTTAGTCCTGGCTCTGACTGACTCTTGGCTGTGACACCTGGCACTTACTCCTGGTTCTGACACCAGACTCTGATTCGTGACTCTGACACCTGACTCTGACTTTTGGCTCTTACACTTGACTCAACTCAAGTATGACTGTGATTTATAAAATTAATAATGCTATCGACCATAGTATACAGTATTTCTTGAAAAGGTGAAGGATGGTCATCTTGGAAACAGGCATATCCTAAAATAAAAACTGTACCTATGGACAGTTTGTTTTATCGGTTTTGGCCCTCCTGCAAACTGCTGATTAGACATACATCCACTAATCAGTTGGAAACAAAAGAAGGTTTCCAAAATTCTCCAGAGACATTTCATCCTTTGCAAAATAAAACAAAAAAAGGTAACTCTTTCACAGCCGATCTCCTCCACTCCTCCTACCACTCCATCCCCCACAGCCACTTCCTCCTGTACCACTATCCCCTCCCCCCTAGATTGTAAGATCGAAAGAGCAGGGCCCTTGACCCGCTCGTGTTTTGTTTTGTTACTGTATTGTCCCATGTTCTGTCCCCCACTATAATGTACAATGCTGAGCAAACCTTGTAAGCTATATAGATACTGTATAATAATAATAATAATAATAATAATAAAGGGAAAGCATCTCTATACTGTATATAAATCATGACAATCTGAAGCCATCCTGTCCAGGTCTGGAGGTTTCTGTGCAGAATGACAGGTGCAGGTAAATAGATTTGGACAAAGGAATAGGAAGTCCCTTTTCTTGTTATGACCAGAATGAACTTCAACCACTCGGAGGAGAAAAATAAATCAAATAGTGGATAAGGTTAAATAGAAATGTCAGTTACAACAACATGGTAGTAAAAAAATGTAAGAAATGCTGTAGATTTAAAACAATTATCAAAGATCTTCAATGTTTTCTTCCCTGGGGCACCTGATCTTCTGCCAGAACCCTCTAAAATCTCTTTGAAAGTCCTGACTTGAAAGTGGAAATTTGCACTAAGCAGGCTCTGTATGATGGCACTTGGATCTAGCAATTAACTGGTCAGGCACCACACGTTTGCCCTATACCAGTACCACATTTATCAGTTGCCTAAAATTGTGAATTGGGGTGGTGTAGGAGAAGATTTTTTATTACAGAGTTGCTTTACAGCCAGTATGTAGTAGATTATATTTATTTGTGGTGTTTACATACCATACCCATCTGTAATTTGTCTGACAAATTCCTTGGCT